CGGTGAGGTTTCCCCAGCCTGGTGAGGATGGATAAATAACGCGACTGAATAATTCAGTGGAATATTTCCACCCTGCTCGGTGCAGCCTGTTTCAACCGAGCTACTTTTTTAACACTTCTGTCAAAGTATATTTGTCTCATTAATAAAGATTTTCGGGGAGAAATATCTGATTCTTGCAGAGCACAGGGAGCTCCGGCTCTAGACAACATCGCTGTTCGGGTTGATCGTTACCCTCCCGACATCGCAAATGGCTTGCTACGGACTTGGTCCTGACAAACGCTATGGGGGGTCCCGCGCGTCTCCGGCGAGGCTTGGTGCGATCGCTCCTGCTGCACGTTTCCAGTCCGGGGCGGTGAAGGGGCAGAGCACGGTCCCAATTAACACGACGGACAGCGTGGTGGTACGACTGTTACCGCGTTAGGTGCCGCTAGCTAGAACACACGCGAGGACTACCGCCCCTCTAGGTGGCCCTGGTGGCTCCATACCTGCAAGGGAGCTCATCTGCTTTCTACTGTGTTTTCTGATCCGTTAAAAGGATAAATATACATGGGTATCGATTAGCATTTGGTTTATTCCTGTAACAAAACATAAGGGACAAACACCATAAAAAAAGCCACATCTGAGCAAGGGAATGTAACTTCCATGACTGCAAATATACTATCCGTAAGCCTCCAAAAGCAGGGAAGTCCCGTACAGAAACCGTCCTGGAGAAGACCCATGGGAGTGAATGGGCAGTAATGTGGACATCAATTTGCAATGCGATCCAGTAGCAAAAAAGAGAACCCGACGCAATTTTTGGTTGTACATGCAGTAGCAATATATCACAGCCTGGGCTGCTGTTTGTCTCTTTGTATACAGCACCGGCGAGACTGCACACAGACTGCTGATTACCCTTCTGCAAACCTCAGAGCCGGAAAGATGAAAACACACCGAAGGGGATTTAGAGAAGAGCAATCAAAATGATTAAGGAGCTGCTGGTATTAATTTATGAAGAAAGATTAAAAGACCTAAATAGGTATAAATGCTAAATGAGAACTAAGTGGGGGTGGGGGGGAAGAGAACAGGGAACATTTTACAGATAGGTGAATGGAGCAGAGGAATTATTTGACAAATTTTACAAGATTTAGTCAGCAGTAAACGGGAAGAAAAAGAACAAAGGGAAATGCGTGCTTAACGTCAAGAATAATATCCTGGTAGGGAGGCTCTGTTAAGCTGGAATAATCATTTATAAGTTGTGGAAGCTCATTGACAGAGTCATTTAAAACCAGACTGGGCAAAGCGCATCATATCTAAATAACAGACTGCAGGGAACAGCTCTGTGCTAGCAGGAGCACCCATATGCTCATCTAACTGACCTTTTCCCTTCAGTCCCTAGCGTTTTCAGTGCCTTTCCTCCAGGAGAAGGTGGGCCAGGTCCTTCAGACGTCTCCGGCCGTGCCCAGGCCCTGCAGCAGCTCCCCGGCAGGCTGCGCCACCATCATCGCCAGAGGGAAGAGCCCAGCCGAAGCGCCGGGGGATACTGGCGGTAGGCGGCAAGTCCTGCGCTGGTCGTCCTCCAAACGACAGGTCACCTACAAAGCAGAGGCTCCATGCTGACCACCGCGCCGCTTTCGTGGTTCGCGCTTGCTCACCGCCCTGCCGCGACGGTACCTGCTCCGCCGTGCCGGGCTCCTGGGAGGGACTGACCACCACTTGTCGGGATACATCCGGGATTTTTCTACCACGATTATTTTCCGACTTCTCTCCGGCTTCCCAAACATAAAGGGCAAATATATTGACCCAGCATCTCTGAAACACTCTGAAAAACAGATATATCAATTCCTTCTTTAAGGCTTCAACTGTAATCATTTACAGCCAGTTAATCCAGCTGCTAGCACGGAGGCACGATGCCTGGGACAATTTCCTCTGACTTCTTGCCCTTTCTGCAGTGGCCCAGTGCCGGACTAAGAAATAAGGGGGAACACCCGCTGCTGGCAGCGTGTGATGCCCAGTGTTTCCTTTCCGCTCTTTCAGTGGCTAGTGTTAAAATCCGCTGTCATTCCCGCGAGGAAGGAGGGAAGCGCCCTGTGATTTGTCTGGTGTCAGACTGGATATTTTGGTGGTGCCCCCAAACTAATAGTCAGCCCACAGCATTGACAAAACCAGTTAGCCTTGAGGGCTGATTGGTTTTGTGGCATCCTTCCCCCAAACAGACTCTTTGTTTTTTGAAAGCTGTGAATGGGGAATGGTGTTAAGTGGAATAATAATCTATGTTGCCATGACTTACTTCTCACCTCAGGATATTCTTGTCCTCCCACAGCTATTCGTGGGAGACAGCAGAAGGTATTTGTCACATACGCTGCGGATTAAGGGAC